TAGAAGCTGGCAGTTATCCAAGCTTCTGGAGGGAAGTTTTTAGCCCAAGTTCTGCCCTTATGCTACTGCTCAGCTGGCAAGGTGAATTCCCCTGCTCTTAAGGGACCCTCCGACACCAAGGCAAACTCAGGAACCTGCTTTGGCAGGCCAGTCCGCCGCTTTAGGGCTCAACTAGAAATGCACATCCAGCTGAAGCTTTAAAAGGAGACTTACAGACACCTCTCAAGAAAAATGCAGACCCACCTTAGGCAAAGCGCGTGCCACCAGAAAGGCAGAAACTCGCTGTAACTCCCAGCTGAGACAGCAGAGCAGAACAAGGCTCTGGCCTTTTAAGCTTGCCTGCTTTGAGCTGCCCCTTTGCTGCTGAGCTGCAGTGGATAACACCTCCCAAGCCCTGCCCTACAGCACTGCACAGCCACGCCGAAGCCACGCTGCATACAGGAAGGCTTTACAGACGCAAGCACAAACAGGGTGCTGGCTCGGGACCCTTACCGTCGGGGCAGTCCTAGGCTGCTAGCTCCACTGGCCATCCCGAGGGCGTAAAGCTGTGCCTCTGCGTGCAGCCCCACGATGCAGAAACAGACGCTGGTGCTCTTGCCGTGTCTGCAGTCAACCTGCAGATGAGAAGGAGAACAGCCTGAGCATTTTACAGCTGGAAACGGTCTGTGACTTCCAGGACATGCATCTCTAGCTATAGTCTCAAACCAACCACCTAAACCTCCACACACCAACAGCTTGTCAGGGCCCTGCGGGCACTAATGAACCTCAGCGGCCCCAACCAGCCTCACCTGGAGCCTCCACCCACTCCTGCCCATAGGCTCAGGGGCTCTATTTAAGCTGAGCCTGGGGCTCTTCTTTTCTGTGAGCAATTTATTTTCAGTGAGTGACATTGTAGGAGTGTTAGCCCTTGGCTAGGCTTAGCTGTCCTCATGCTGGGCTACAGGCTCTGTGGGTGTGGACCCTCTACTGTAGGTTGGTGTCGTAGCTGGACTCCCACCTGCCCCCTCACCACGGCCCTGCCTGTTGACCGTCGGTCTGTGTCTGACCCTGGATGCCCTTGCTGGGCACCAGCCAGTGAGACCCCTGCCCTCTGAGCAGCAGCCACCCCTGCTGTGCCCTGGCACGTTTACCCTGCTGTTCCCCACCTTGCTTGCGCTCCTCTAAATAATGAGGCAGCAAGCTCAGGGCTGCACGGGGCTCAGGGGCTGGAGGTTTGTCAGGGCAGGCACAGTGTCTGCTGTGGAGCTGCATCAGGGAGGCTGTTGTCAGGCTGCAGGGTGGGAGAGCTGCTCGCTGCTTCCTAAGGCTGACCCGGTGAGCTCCATCTGGAAGGAGCCGGCACCACCTGAGGGGCCGT